CACGTATGTACAAAAGTGCAGAATATGTAGAATGTAAAAATGTACGTACGTATGTATGTACAAATATTTACGTATGAAGCCGAGTATATGGCTAAGCTATGCTTTGTCACAGCAGTGGTGAGTTAAGAAACGAAAACAACAGAGAATTTGTTTTGATTATAGTGCGTACGTATGTATGTGTGCGGGAATGCACAAGTGGATATAATAATACGTAAAGAGCCGCTCACCGCTGAGAGAGCGGGCTTTGATTTACGTTCTCTTAGCTTGGTGAGTGCAGCAGAGAAAAGCAAGATTGAAATAAATTAAAATAAGCTAGAGTGCGCTTGGTACGTGTGGACTGTATTGTTCGATAAATAGCAGCGACTCTCTTAGCTATTATACGAATAGTTGCAGAAAATGCAACTGGTAAAAATGTTTCTATGTGCTAACGTATGTACATATGATATATGGGAAATAGTGCACTTATGTTTTTCGGCAATTTGTTTAGCCAAGTTCAACGAACTATGCGACCAACGGCAAAAATTGGTAAGCAGAGGAAAGTATGTGATTTTAATGTGCTAATATTTTGTTCTTGCACAGTGGGACACAGTAGGCATATAAACTGCAACGGAATTTATTTTGGGGTATATATCAGAATTTGTATATATGTACATATATATATATAAGATTGGCGGTAAGTGGAGATATACCGCTTTCCGGAAAACGGAATGTTTCTACCAAAATTCAATAGCGGCAAATTGCCGATGTGAGATTTTTGGGCGGCAAGAAAATATCCGCAATTTTAGTGAAACCGTTTTTGGCGAGAATAAATACGCCTTTTATGAAATTATATATATATATATGTATGTATATACGTATGTATGCCCGTTGGCAGTTTATTAGAAATAATATAACTTTTAAGAATATGAAAGTTATATTTATTTCAATTTTTTAAGGAAATTAAAAATTTGCCGACTTACTACTTTCCTTGATTTATGTAGCGATGAATGTGTTTAAGTCCTTTTTGCGCCGGGGTCTTCTTGTGCTGGTGTTGTTGTTACCGCTTATGTTGATGCTGGTGATGTCGCTCCAATGTTGGCTGATGGTTTGGTTGGTTGATGGCTGCTGATTGCGCTTTGCTTCTTCTTTTAGTTGTTGTTGCGTATATAAATTTTTGAAATTTTGCGCAACAAAATTACGTTTTTTTCAAATTGTTTGCACTTTTGTGAATATGTTCACTTGTGTGTAGCACTTCGAACGCTTGTTTGCGCACTTCTTTTTCCAAAAAATGTATATGTTTTGTTAATTTAACAATTTTTATTTTTCACGTTTCTTGTGTTTTTTTTTTTTTGCGTATATGTATATGTATGTATATACGTGCACTTTTGTTTGTATCTTTTTTCCACTCTTAAAATTGCTTTTATATGTTTGTTTTTTTTGCGGACGTACGAGAACCGATTTTTTTTTGTAGGTTTTATTAATTTATTTTTAAGTTCTAAAATTTTTCTCTTTTTTTTTTTCTTTAGGAGCTGGGCCACGGTTGGCTGCGAAGGACCATGAATACTTCCAATGGTTGCCTTTCGCACTCACCTTGCACACACACAGTTTCTTTCCGCTCTAAGGAAACACGTTGGTTTTCAATTTTTATGTATTTTGCTTAATAGTTTGCTCATATATTCAAAGTATATTTTGGATGACACAGTTAAAAAAGATGTTTTAAAATTGCTGATATTAAGGGGGGCGCGTGCGCGTTGTCCGACTTGAGTAGCTGAACTGCTTTGTGCGGATTTTCGCACGACGATTGGGAGGCGGCCGTGCGCGCTCGGTAATTATTTTCGGAGTCGCGTCGACTCCACTGCCGCCAAAGTGCGCGCGTACGGCCGCTGAACTCGGCTTAAGCGGCGGCTTAGACACCCCCTGCTCCAGAAAAAATTGAATTTTCCACCGATTCGAAGTACTTATACGACATGGCCCATGCAATTTCTAGCGGCGTGGTTCCGGTGGATTTGGCTAACATCAAACCAGGGAAAATTGTACATTCTCGGTGGCTCACCAAGGCCGCTAGATTATTGCGATTATATATGACAACGGAAAATCCAGATGCAAATTTAAGAATTCTGGTTGAATTTATAATTAAATGTTATGTGCCAATGTACTTCAATATCAAGTATTACAGCTCTGTCGTGTACGGCAGTGCATTATTTTTCAAGTTCATTGGTTGGTCACGATTTCTAGAACCTCGTTTACGCAAAATTGTCAATCAAGTAATTAAAGATAATTCATATTATGCGCATTCGGAAAATATCTTGTTATCAATGTTGTTTGATGATAGCAAAGAAAAGCGCGACTGTGCCATCAAGAAAATTCTACGCTATCGAACCGATGTTGACGAGCCAATGGAACTTAGAGTTTATAAAAAACCAGATATAAACTTTAATTGCACAAGTTATACGGAAATGATCAATTTGAATGATACAAATATCGTATTTGAACCACCATTCACGCGAAGCATTCCGTACGATACATTGAAAGAATATTTAAATCAAGATGATCCACCGTTTAATGATCCAAAAATTCCATCACACATACAAGGAACGGAACGACATGTTCAATTGCTAGCTAGCGTTTCCAAACGGGTTATACCGGAAAATGTAGAGGCTGTTATGGCGACGACATTAGAGAGCCGTGCGAAATTGCCCAGACTTGAAAGTAAAAAAGACTTCAAACAATAATTTTTTTTAGTTTCTTTTCTATAACTCACTTAAATTAATTTTTTCATTTACATATGTTCTGACTAAATAAATTTCTTAAGAGAAAAAATAGATATTATTATAAATAAATAATAAATATTATTATAAATAAATAAATAAAAATAAAGAAAAAACATAGCCATTTAGCTGATTTTTTCATGTAAAAGCCAAAAATGGTGATTTTTTGAAATGATTGTTTGGGGAACCCCCCAGGGGAGTTCCAGGGGGTGTGCCACTGGCATGGGTGGATCGGCCGTCCAAAGTTAGTGGGGGTCGGTCATACATTTGGACTGGATTGGAGCACTTTAAATGGGTCAAAGTGGGATTTTTCAAAATTATCCCCTACCCAAAAGTTCGACCCAAATTGGGGGACATCAGAATTCGTTTTAGAGGTATGGTTCCTTCGGCAAAGTTTCTTATTTTGATCCCTAGAATACGATTTTCACAGAGCAATGAGCGATTTTTAAATCGACCCGCCCTAATATATATATATATATGTGTTTAATTTTTTAAATACATACATACATACATATCGCGCATTTAATTCAATAGTGCCATAATCTAAAAATTTGTTCAATGTTGTGTAAAAATTTCATAGCTATATCGATTACCACTATCTTACTCGAATAAAATATATATTCACTTTTACTATATGTACGGTGACCATCCGTCCTTTATTTTAAAGGACTGTCCTTTATTTTAACCCCCTGTCCTTTATAATTTTTTTCAAAATAAAGGACGCCTTTTGTCATTTATTTCTTAAACTGTCCTTTAAATCGGCTCTGCATTTTTCAGAGGTATTTTTTTAACGGAGAATATAAAAAATAAAAATGTTCCTTATAAAATATAATGAAAACCATCCCCAGTTGATTTCGCACCTCACTTAAGGGTTTCTATTTAATCGGTTATTTTTGTACAATCTATAAAGCCCAGGGAAAGTTGTGCCCAGGATGGTGTTCCACGCTAAGTTTCCAGTTCCACTGAACTAGAACATTAAACCCCTGCTGCTTAGTGGTTCAAAACTGGCATTTAGTGTTCGTAATTCACTGGAGCCTTCATTTTTCATTTCATTTGATTAATTTTATATTTTTTTTATGAAAGCTTACAGTATTTCCAAGAGACCAGTTAAGCCTGATTTCTGAATTTTTATTTGGTTATATTATTTTTTTTGTGCAAAATGCAGAAAAAGTAAAAATTTTGAAGAAAATGTACTCTCCTGTTCCAGTTAATAAATGTTACATAACACAAACTAGTTGAAAACAATTATACGGTTCTTCCAAAACAAAAAAAAAAATACAAAAACAAAAAATTTTGAAATGTTATAAAAAATGTTCACCAAACTAAATAGTTTTTTGTTTGCTTTTTAGTAAAAATTGGTTGAAAAATTAAGGTTTCGGTGGATTATGAACATTAAATTCCAAATATTGAACCACTGTGTGCTGGCTTCGTCGTACAGTATGAATTATCGTAAACGCATTTTGGTAGCAAGGGAAGGCGAAGTCCTTGAAAAGGATTTGGCTTCATTTTTTCGCTACAGCAGGGGAACTTGTACAATTAAATAATTTAATTGACTGTAAATATTTGATTTAAATTAAGATATGTGTAAGGTACTTTTGTCATACGAGTTGTATGTACGTATTCCAAAATCATTTTGAAAAAAATGTCCTTTATTTTACGTCGGTTAATATGGTCACCGTAACTATATGTAATATGTACATTAGCGTGGGCCGAAAATCCGCTTTTTTAGAATTTTGGTTGGTAATAGCAAAAATATGGTTCATAATGCTCTAAAAACAATTTGTGTGAAAGAGGACAATTTTTGGTCAATATCTTAGGCTCGCCCAAGTCCATCAAAGTTCAAGTGCTAACATTTTTTTTTAGTTTATTTACTTCGATTCTTTACAAAAAAGGTTCATATACCAAAGTATGTAGGACTAATACTTTCGAGGATACTTGCAATCTTAGTAAAAAAAATTTATTAATTAATGTATTTATTAATTTTTATTTTTTTAAGCCATTGAACTTTGATGGACTTGGGCGAGTCTAAGATATTGACCAAAAATTTTCATTTTTCACACAGATTGTTTTTAGAGCATTATGAACCATATTTTTGCTATTACCAATCGAAATTCTAAAAAAGCGGATTTTCGGCCCACGCTAATGTACATACATATATGTAAATTCAAAATTTTAAAGCTATTTATCTCGAGTGCTGCTTTTTTGAGTTGTGACATTATTGAAGTAAATGAGCGATATGTATAATTAGTTTACCTTTAAAAATTTTTTTCTCGGATTTCCTTATCTGCTCTAATACTTTTTCTTCCAAACTTTGAAGATCTGAAAAAAAACATAATAAAAAGTAGTTTATGTTTGTAAAATTAATTAATTTAAAATAGTGTTAACCTTTTCTTGTTATTGGTGTGTCGTTCGTCGCACTGCTAAAACTGATATTAAAGTCCATGTCTGTCGCTTTAACGTTTATTAGGAATGGATAAGAGGAATAAAGAAATTTACGCATTCATTATTAAATTATATAATTTTTGATATCTGTTGTAATGAATGTTGAACGCTAGTGGTAGAAAACTCCAATTCCATGCAACATTTGGTATTCAGGTTCCCTGACCGTATAGGAGTTTCAAAAAAGTCATGTAAATTAAGAACTTCTTTCCCTGATATTTTTACCTCAGTATTATCATGTATAGCCACCAATTTATATATACTATTATTGAAGCTATAGAAATTTGTCAGGCTCTTTAGTGGAAAAGAATAAGTTTGGGGTTGTCACAGAAGTAAATTCCTTTCCTTTTTTTAAGACGCATGACGAGGTTACAGTACTTTGTGAGGCTAAGCTGTCTTTAATCGAACAATTAATATTAATCGGTTATTTTCCTTCACTTGTCGGTTTAATTGTATCGTGAAAGCCCTTTTGATTAATTGCAATATTAATCGATTATTTCCAAAATAATCGAAAGATGTACGCCACTAGAAAACAAAACCATTTCACATCAGCAGCGCTTTTTAAATTTTTTTTTCAAAAAATTATATTGTCCAAGGTTTTATTCAAGCGAAAAAAAGGAAAATGCCTCCAATACGAAGTGATGTTTGGAAGCATTTTTCAAAGGAGAGTTCTACAGATGTAAGGTGTAAGTTGTGCTGCAAAACTTTAAAGTGCTCCAACAACACAACAAATATGATGCAGCACTTAAAGTTGAAACATTCAAAGGAGGCTGAAGCCCTAAAAGTACATAAGTTAAAAATTCCACCATCAATTAATCGCAACTTTAATGTACAATGTGTACTACAGAGAAACAATGAAGCATTGCATGAAGCAAGTTGTGTCACAGAGGATAGCAATGAATTGCCAAGCACGAGCCAAAACCCTACACCAAGAAGCAATCAGCCAAATATAAACACTGTGTTTTCAAATGTAGAGAGTTTTGCATCAGGTGGTTCGGAGCATCAGAAATTGACGCAATCAGTAGTGGAAATGATTGTAATGGACAATTTGAAATACCCGACGCAAGTATTAGATATGTATATGATTTCCACCTTTCCGAAAGCTACCGCTACAATTTTGAGTAAATTAGCGTCCTTAAATTTACAAATATTGAAGTTTCAAGCATTTCTAAAATTTACCGTTATATGAAAAGCGGCCTCAATTTTAGTCCGATTTCAATAATTTTCAACGTTTGGCTTTTATGTGGCAAGCACAATAACCACACCGAGTTTGGTAAAAATTGGTAGAACGGTTATCGAGATACATATATGTGATCATAAGTGGGCGGTGCCACACCCATTTTCCAAAATTTTATTAAAAGCGTATTTCTTGTTAAGAATTATTGCAAGCATAAATTTTCAATAAATTAGCTTTAATATTTACTGATTTATCGAAGATTTCGTATTTCTCTAAATTACCGTTATATGGGATGTGGGTTATTGTCCGATTTTTTAAATTTTTGGCCATTTAGTATGCTGTATCAACGCCAACAACTGTGGCAAGTTTGGAAGAAATTGGAGCAGCGGTTACCAAGATATACACATATAACCATAAGTGGGCGTGGCTACGCCCATTTTCCAAAAATTTATAATATTCTGATTTTTCTTCTAAAATTTATTGTAAATATCAATTTTGAGTGAATAATCTTCAGTAGTTACAAAAATATCGCAGTTTTCGTATTTCTGAAAATTATCGTTATATGGGAAGTGGGCGTGGTTACAGTCCGATTTCGCCCATTTTCAATACCATCCGTCCTACGCCCGAAAGAAGTGCACGTACAAGGTTTCGTTAAGATATCTCAATTTTTACTCCAGTTATCGTGTGCACAGACGGACGGACGGACAGACAGTCACCGCTTAATCGATTTCTCTTTTCATTCTGATCATTTATGTATACATTTGCTTATATCTATCTCGATTCGTTTTGCCTGTTACAAACAACCGTTATGTGAACAAAGTTATAATACCCTTGCGCACAAGTGCGCTCGGGTATAAAAATAAAAGTCCGGGAATAAAATTGTTACTGAATCGTGTTTCGATACAAGTACTATCTTCCGATACCTACTCAGTACTCGTTTCAAAAGTATCGATACCAAAATTGCTTGGTATCAGACGAAAAGTATCGAGTATGTACTTGTATTTACTAGTATCGTTTTGTCCCCATCCGATATGCATTAATAGAATAGCTTCAGTGTGTTACGTGAACGGGGATCGCCAATTCGGGTTGAAAACACGAAAATATCAATTTATTGAGAAAGGGAGCAGCTAGGATTTTGATTATTTCGAATTTTTAATCTGCCCTAGAAACATATACCGCAACTAAAATTCGGCCACATTTTGGAGGCATTTAATTATACTTCAGGACCACTGCGTGTACATGTAACAAAACTTTTCAGGTAGGTGGTCGGCACTGCCGAGTATCAGTATAGTATTTGACGCGATAGTTAAAGTTGAAAAATAAACAAAATTAGTTTTTTTTTTATTTTACGCGACAAAAACTCCTAACAATCAAAGTCTACCAATAGATTTTTATATATAGTTTTAAAGGCCTATAAATCCTCTTCTCATGTTTGAGTTTTAAAGAACGAAAATAAGCATTTTTTAATAAAAAAAATTGAGGGTTCAGGAATTGTAAGAAACTTATGAGATATGTGTAAAACAGGCAATTTTTACAATATGAAATTTTAAAATGGCAACACTGATTTCAATTATGAATTTATTACTAATTCGTACAAATTTTAATGTCACTTTATTTCACTTCTGCATAGGAAATAACGTCATATGGTTATATTTCCAAAACAAAATGGAAATAAGACCATATGGCCTTATTCCGTATGGTGTTATTGTACCACCGCCTAGAAGACCGAAGCATACTCTTCAAGAGAAAAGTGAAGCTTATCCCCATTAACTTCGAAAAAGACCCCATATCCTGACCAAGAGTTAGTTTTGAAGCCATCAGTGAAGATTCGACAATGTGTGAGTCTAGGCTCGTCAGTGCTGGAATTGAACCAGAATTCAGCCTCAGGGAACCCAACATTATATAATCCCTTCAACAAAGGTGATGATGGCGTACTATCCTGAGGCATTGAAAATACACAAGTGCTCAAATATCTGCCGCCAGTAATTTCTGCCTCGCCTGTTATACCAACATCCGTTTATGTTTAGTCTGCAGGTGGTCTGTACGGCTTTCCCACGTATGAAGACACAAAGTGACGGTAAGTACAGTAGTGCGTCAAGAGCACTATACACTAGAGTCCGACCGATTAATCGGCCGATGCCGGGGCTAGTAGAGACCAAAAGAATCGGCATCGGCCGTTTTTGGCCGATTCTTGAATGAGGTTATGTTATTTAGTTATTTGATTATGTTTTTCTTTTGTTATTAAAAGAGTTGTTAGCAGTATTTGTTCTTGAAATGAATTTAATTAAGGATTTAATCGGCCGAAGCATCGGCCGATTCTTTGCCGATTAAATCCTGAATATAATTACATTTTAAGAACAAACGCTTTTATAAATTTTTATGATAACAAAATAAAAACATCATCAAATAACTAAATAACAATACCTAATTCAAGAATCGGCCAAAAATGGCAGATTCGGATTCTTTTGCGATACTAACATCGGCATCGGCCGATTTATCGGTCGGACTCTACTATACACCAGTCAAAGAGTTAAAGTTAAAAAAACAAGCAATCAAGCAACCATTTTGGTTCTTTACTATCGAAACCAGATAAATTTCCATGGACTCCCACTTACAACTTTCACTCCGTAGACCCCCATCGAGTCTCCAGTGAACCCTTTATTAATTTAAGACGTCTGTTACATTAACGCCCCATACTCTCTTTTCGTGCACACTTGCGACATACATAGTTGCCTTGGCTTTAGTTTATTAAGATTATTCAGTGAAATCGTTGGAGAATTAGAAATGTGTAAACAAGTTTCGATACAAATTTTGACAGTTGATTTAAGTTTACACAATTATAAGTTTATGCGGTTGATAATGGTTCTGTATAGGCATTTTTTTCAATGTCCCTACGGATCATAGTCCAACAATATTGCTGGACCGATTCGTGCAAATAGACGCAAAACTTCCTGTGACACCTGCTTCCAGTGAGCGCTCCTTCTTAAGCATAAATCAAAGTTACGAAGTAAAACAGCCGCAGAGATATAGAAGTTACGAACAAAGAAGGATTGAATACAATTTTTTCCTTTAAAGACCAAGCAGTAGAGAAATGTATTTCTAATTTTTTCATGTATACCTATGTATGTACATATACATATAAGCAATCTGAATTTATTTAAAAAAAATAATAATATTGGCATATTTGGTGGAATTGATTATATGAAAAAAAGAATGTTGCCAATTACCTGTGCTAATAATTTAGTGCGGCACTGTACTTACATACATGTATAAAAAACTTATAATTTCGCGTTATTTTTATTTCAATTTTAGTAAATGCTTTAAGTAATTTAGAAATATGTACTATCATTGAAGCTTCGTCTTATGAAAATTTATGTATATGAAATTTTACTTTTTGTTTTTTTTTTTGTTATTTATGGCCTAATAACAATTATGTATATTCAACAATTTGATTAAGCTTGAGGTCGTTATTAATGAAAATTTTTGTGAAAACAACAGTAATTTACATTTTGGTAGAAGTTATAGCTATTATTTCGGAGATCACCACGTCAACCACCATGATTGGGATATGAACCAGCGACCTCGGGTTACAACAAAGCCAATGGTCTACCCACTGAGCTATGTTCGCTACGTAAACTATTGTTGCTTTTTTCACTTTTTCATATGTAAACCCAACAACAATAAAGGGCAGCTATTCTACTGCTATTTAGACATGCTCATGTGGTTGTTGTTATTATTGGTTTTTTGTTAATACATATTCTAGTTTTAGAATATTTAACTTTAGGTGTGCTCGTCCTTAAGTTATTTTTATTTATGGCCTAATTTTACATTCTTTTGTTTTTTCCAAATAGAAAATTTCCAAAAATACAGCATTAAAATTGATGTAGGTTGTTACATATTGTGTATGTTATAGAGATGGGCGCGGGATAGCGGGACCCACGGTACTGATTTAAAATTGGCCCGAATGGGTGGTATCGGGAAGATCTGTAAAAATATGACGGGCGGGACGGGACCAAAATCTTTTCCCGACACTCCAGATAAAACCGAAACCACCGCAAATTCACAAACTCTTCCTTAAAAACGCTGTTTGAAATAATTTTTAACTATTAATGTTTAATTGAGACGAAAACGAACAGCAAAGCAAAACAAAATAATCGGAAGATGCAATATCTTTCATAATTATTTTTATTATTTAAAATTAATTTGAAAGACATGAACATTTTTGCAAACCTTCGATCGGTTTGCAAACCACGCCACACACGTTGAAATCTCAACCGATCGTTTCAATTTGTTGTCCATTTGTAGCCTGCTTTAGATTTCGGGACCCACGGGATCCGTGGTACAATTCTGAAAAACGCCGGGATGGGCGGGCTCGGGACTTAAAAATCGTATATCGGGATGGGCGGGATCGGGATTAAATATTTAGTCCCGTGCCTAT